ATTTATGACCGGGAATGGACCAGGAATTTTTTTTTCATGAAAGAAGTGGCCACCCTGAAAAACAATTATTTTTAATTAATTAATTTTACAAAATTTCAATTATTCAAAAGCTTTTGAATTGTATATTTCGAAAATTTAATTAGAAAAATTATTCAAAAATAACTTTTCAATGATTTGTCTATTATACTTTTCACACTAATAAAAATAGAAATAAGTTGCAGTTTATTCTAAAAATATGGTATTTTTCGTAAAATTTGTAAAAAAAAAATTCTAAAAGGTCTCAATTTTTTAATGTAAGTCGATAAAAGTCGCTTTATTTGAAAATAGTGGAAAAAGTCATAATATCCGAGGCCTCGAAACTTTTATTTTTTGAACAATATTATTGCCATTTTTACTTTCCATGTGGAACTGTTGGTAGACTAACGGAAGGACCAACTTTGTAAACAGTTGGTTCAACTGTTTTTTTAGATAATCGGTATACAACATGCAGATTGATAACGCACACCATTCTGTGAATGACACTATTGAACCATCTGTCTGAACAAAAGTTGTACCACCTTTGATAAAAAAATAGTCCTGGCAACCCATGTAAAACCGGTTTTCGAGATGGATTATCAAACAAACGAAAACCGCAATCAAGAAACCAAAATAATTCAAATTGATATTGCGACAATAGCTATACGCTAGACAGGCTGTCAAGTGTAAACTACCTTGCATATTTTTTCGATAACATTCGGAAAAACTAACAACTTCACCGCTTTCCGTAGTGAATTTCAAATTGACCTAATTTATATACAATCCACAAAAGAATTTATTCCTTTTCATACAATGGCTTGACTATTATGGAAGAAGTGTTTAATTGAAAGAAATAATATTTTTTTAAATAAAATACACTGTACTAAAATTTATAAATTCTGTACAGGCGAAAATTCCATTTAATTGGCACAAATAAAATTTGTTTTACATAAATAAATATTTATTTGCTAATATTTATTAGAGATCTGACAAATAAAAGCTTCGCTTGCAAATGGAAAATGTTTCTGGATTCAAATACACGGAAAGAGAATATATATTAAATTTTGTAAAAGTATTTTACAAATTGGGGAAAAAGTGCAACAAAGCGAAATTTTGATATAGAAAATACTAAACTAATTTATTAAAAATTTATTAAAGTTATATTAGAATTTAATTAATATTCTTGATATTTGATATAATTATACTAAATTTCACATAAGTTTTTTTAAAGTTTAGTATTTTTTATATCAAAATTTCGCTTTGTCGCACTTTTTCCCCAATTTGAAAATATTTTTACAAAATTTAATATATATTCTCTCTCCGTGTAAATAAAGACACGAGTCTTGTAGAGACAAAATAATAAATTAACTTATTACTAAATCACTCATACTAAAATCTAGGTGTCCTACAATTTTAAGAGAAGCTTGATATTATTTTGAATTATAGTTCTAAAATTTTAGGCAACTTAAAATTATTACTCTGTCATAAAATTCATATTGTTCCTAAATTTTGAAGCGCTTAGCTATATAAATTTGACCGAAATAATCGTTTGTAAAACTCCAATAAAAGCTTATGTGGTTGTTCCTACAGGATATCCCTACTAAAATTCCTTGAATATCAATATATATATTGTGTTTTCCCGTTCTGGACCATTCAGTTTCAAATATTTTTTTTAAAAAATGCAATATTTTTAAATTAAAAATTTTTCATTAAAAATTTAGGGAACACTAACAATAAGGGTAGGTGGTTACTTTGTCTAAAAAATATATATATCCTTTTTGTCTAAAAAAAAGCGATTTCTAATGAAAACTGTTTTCCAAAAAAAGTTTTTCTAAAAAGTTTGGATTTATAAAAAAAAATTTTCTAAAAAGTTATGATTTCTAATATTTATTTTTCTAAAATATGTATAAAATTCTAAAATTTTAATAAAAGTTAGAAAATTGTGAAAAAATTAAGATTAGGAAATACATAGAAACTATTTTGCTTATTTTCTGCTTCTCAATCACAACTCTGTTTTACTACTACTCTGTTTACAAAATGATAAGTTTCTTTTTGAAAAAGAAGAAAAGTTTTTATAAAATTACTATTTCTTATCACAATTTTGTTAACAAAATTCAGTTCTTCTTTGAAAATAAAAATAATAGTTTGCATCATTTTAATACCAATATTTCTAGAATTAATTTATTTATAAAATATTTTTTTAGAAAATTTTAAATATCTTTAGGCAAAAAATTAAAATTTTGTTAAAAAATTTGCATAATTTCTATATTTTATTATAATTTTTGAAAAAAACCTCAAGTATTTTTTTTAAAGAATTAAAAAATTTTCGTAAATTTTATTTTTTAATCATATAGGTATACCTATTGATCGTCATTACAAAAATTGAATATTGTTGGAAAAATTTTTTTTTTGAAAATTACCTTTATTAGAAGAAAGAAAATTAGAAAATCACCTGCATTAGAAAAAAGATTTTTAGAAATTCACCTTTATTAGAAAGACAATTTTTAGAAAATAAAAAATCAGAAAATACGTTTTACAAAAACTTTACCCCAACCAAGTGTTAATAAGTTGTCATTAAAAAAAGAAATCATTCAAAAAATTTTCATTTTTTTAATATAAAAAACTTATTTGTTTTGCAAATCAAAATTCAGCAGCTTTCTTTTCTTATATTTAAAAAAAAATTAGAAAATTGTTAAAAAATTAAGATTAGAGCATAGAAAATATTTTCCATATTTTCTGTTTCTCAATCGCAATTATCTTCATAAAATTAGGAAATTCTTTTTGAAAAAAAAGAAAAAATTTTGCAAAATGCACATTTCTAATCACAATTTTTTAACAAAATCTGTTTTTTTAAAAAATGGAAATATAATTTGCATCATTTCAGAAAATTTTCAGTTTTTTAAATAAATGAAAAATTTTATAATGTCTAATTTATAATCACAATCATCACAATATTTGTGCAAAATTTTCTGTTTTTTTTTACCTAAATATTTTTCACGATTTTAGAATTCTAGAACTCCCATTTTAAAATTTACGAAATCAATTTTTAAACATTTGGACATTTATCGATTTGGAATCTTATTTTTCTAACTAAAAATCATGAGTTTAAAAAAAAAATGTTTGCAATATTCATATTTCTAATCACGATTTCTTAACAAAGTTCTGTTTTTTTCAAAAAGGAAGTAATTTGCATTATGTCTATTTCTCAATTACAATTTTTTAACAAAGTTTGAAGTTTTTTAGAAATAAAGGAAAACGATTTTTATGAATCACATTTTTTTAGAACATTTAAAATTTCTATTCGAAAAAAAGTAAGAGAATTTTCATAATTTCTATTTATTAATTACGATTTTTAACGAAATTATTTAGAAAATTTACACAACTTCTATTCATCACAATTTTTTAACGAAATTTAAATTTTTTCTAATAAGTCAAAAAAAAATTTGTATAATTCCAATTTTTTAATCACGATTTAAAAGACAATTCTTTTTTTGCTAATTTGTTTGCAGATTGTAAAGAGGAAGCAAAATGTTCATCTTATGAACATCGCCCATCTTGTTTTATTTGTGTTAAGGAAATAATAATTTAAGGGAAATTAAATTTTGTTTGATTTTGTACATGCAGATGAATTTTGCCGCTGTAGAATCCAAGAATTATTATTATTATTATTATTATTATTATTATTGACATAGTTTAATAATAATATTTACATCAACAAATTATTTGTTTTATTTTATAAGAAATTGAGAATGGTTAATAGGCACTATTGTTAATTATTTATACTGAAATCAGAATTAGAAATGAATTTATAACCAATATTGCTTATGACTTTTTTAACTATAATCATTGGTAGGTAATTACCGTCTAACATGTGGTCTATGACAAAAATTATGAAAAAATAAATAAATTAAATCCAGATAAGATTAAATAAATTCAAATATCAAATTCAACTCGCCATTTAGTTATAAACAATTATGACTTTAATAGAAATTGTCGAATTGCAAATCTTAAACAGGTTGATAATTTTGTATGCAATATAGAATCCTAACAATATCCGAATATTGAGGATTTTCTACGGATGAAACATATCCGAAAACTACCATATCCGTAGGATGTCCCAGGAATTTCCAAAGATATCTTAAGAACATCCTAGGGACATCCAAATTTCCGGATGTGACTAGGATGTCCGTAGGATATCCTTGAATATTCGTTGCTGTTAGGGAATTCAGAAAATTTTAAAAAATCAAGTTGAGTTTCGAAAGGTTTGTACTGTTTCATTAAATTTTTTCATTAAATTTCACAAATCCCGCCAATTTCATTATCCTTAAGTTATTAATAAAAAAAAAGCAGGATTTTGAAAATTTATTGCAAATAAGTTATTAAAAATCGTCTATTAACAACTTTTCTCTATTTTATTTGACATCGGTTTCTATGTCATCATATTAATTAATGTAACTACGAACCACTAATTCATGTTAGTAAAAAGTATTACTGATTTTTAGTCATCTTTCACTAAAATTTCAATAAAAACAAATTAAGACTATTGAAGAAATAACGGAGTAATATTTTACTTAAAGTTTGTAAATATTTTTACTCATACTCATAGCTCACCTTTTAATAATTTAAATCAAGAATCAAGAAGAACGATTCTTTATTGAACATTACTTCTACCGTGACTTTGGAAGTAAGATTTAAGAAAGCTCGTATCACAAACTAAAACTGTATATATACGTTGAGTAGGTAAAGTAAAATTGAAAAATAATAAAATCTAAAGGAAAAGGAAACAATATTTTCCTTTCTCGAATGGATTCATTTATCTTGTTGAGAGAGATTACATAAGATTCTTAGATAAAAGTTTACGTTCCTAGGTGTGTAGGTGAAGTAAACGACAGTCTATAAAGTTTGCTGTTTCAGACTCGCGCACTAAGATTAATTTACTGGAAGAAGAATAGTAGCGGTCAGTTGAAAAAGCGTAATTATCTTACCTTGTTATTTATTGCCCCTACTTGATTTAAATAAGCGAATCCTTATTCAACGACTTTCCAAAAATCAATCACCACAAATCCAGAAACAAACAATTTTCCTAAAAACACGTTTTTCACATAAAGTCTTATGAGTTGTTGCTATTCAATAATTTGCACACTATCAACTATTCATAAATCCCATTCACAAAAATAATCATGAAGTTTATTTTTTAAAAATTGGGTTTAAATGTATTTTTTAAATTTTATGAAAATAATGTTAAATTATTTCGTTAATCCCAGAGATATAACACTCTTCATTAACAAAAAACGGATCTTTTGGAAAAATTGGTTTCAGCACATAAATATTTTATAAACATTGTTTTTTTTAGAAAAAAAATTTTTTTTTGAGTTATATTTTTTGCATTGTACACTAGAGAATTATTCCAGCATTCATGCAGTTAGATGACGATTGGAAATTTAATAAATCTTTTCAAACATAAATCATTGTTTTTAAAGGACATTTAAGAAAAAATTGTTCATTGAGTAAAACTGTTTTAATTCACAAACTGTTGTTTAGAAAGCGCATGCGAACACTTTTCGGCGGTTATACTGTATATTAAAGGATAGCGATCCCATGTGCGCGTATAGCACGGCGTAGTAACAGAAAGAGACTAACCCTCGAGAGCAGTTCTGCACCCCTGGACGTCGCGCATGCTCTCTTATCTTAAGAAACTCACCCTCTCCTGCACCGCATAGACTTGAGCTTTTTTTGACAATATCCAACCTGGCTTCTGTACTCTTCCAATTCGGATCGCCACTGCTAAAGTTTGTAAACGAAGAGTAAAACAAGTTGAAACAACAAAAATTTATTTACTTCAACGTTCAAGGAACGTATTTTATCGTGTGCACTTTTATAAGGATTTACCACTTTACGAGATTGGAACAATTGTAACTGCAACATATAATGTTGAACGAAACGAAAGTATTATCTAATGCTCCATTTCTTCATTTATAAGAATAAGTGATATTTTTGTTGACTCTCTTTCGATTTAAAGAAAAGTTTATAGACTTTTAAAAACAAATATATGTCAATATAAACTTATCCACAACAGATCGGAATAGAAACGGATATTATAGGATATACAGACGTACCTAGTCACAGCCTCACAGCTAGAAATTAATATGTCCTCAAGATATCTCAGAATGTCCCTGGGACATATTTTGCGGATATATAATATAACCCAACAAAAAATATCTTTGATGCAAAAAGTTTTTGCAAACATCCAAACAATTAGTGAAATAAAAATTCACCAAGTAAAATTTATAAACTAAAGATTTTAATATTAAATTGTAACAAATATAAAATTTACTTTAATGATTAACATGAGCAGCTAATGTAATCTAGCTATGTAATTAATAAATAATTAATTCGACTTAATAAAAAATTTCTATATTTGAAGCAATTTTAAGATCTTGGCGTCAATATTTTCATTAATTACAAGTTAGAATAACATTTTTTCCAATTTTTAAAAAAATTTTTATTAATTTTTTTTTAATTTTTGGGACTATTTTACTCCATAAACGAAAGGAAGCGAAGGGTTTAAGGGCACGCAAATTTTTTTACATCTTCCTGGCATCGAATGCAACTAAGTTGTGCAATAAAATTTTTCCCCCGAGCCTTTTTTAATTTTTAAAAAATTTTTTATTAATTTTTTTTTAATTTTTGGGACTATTTTACTCCATAAACGAAGGGAAGCGAAGGGTTTAAGGGCACGCAAATTTTTTTACATCTTCCTGGCATCGAATGCAACTAAGTTGTGCAATAAAATTTATCCCCCGAGCCTTTTCCAATTTTTAAAAAAATTTTTATTAATTTTTTTTTAATTTTTGGGACTATTTTACTCCATAAACGAAAGGAAGCGAAGGGTTTAAGGGCACGCAAATTTTTTCACAGCTTACTAGTATCAAATGCAACTTGATTGTTCAATAAAATTTTTCCCCCGAGCCTCTTCCAATTTTTAAGAAATTTTTTAAGAATTTTTTTTTAATTTTTGGGACTATTTTACTCCATAATCGAAGGGAAGCGAAGGGTTTAAGGGCACGCAAATTTTTTTACATCTTCCTGGCATCGAATGCAACTTGATTGTTCAATAAAATTTTTCCCCCGAGCCTCTTCCAATTTTTAAGAAATTTTTTAAGAATTTTTTTTTAATTTTTGGGACTATTTTACTCCATAATCGAAGGGAAGCGAAGGGTTTAAGGGCACGCAAATTTTTTTACATCTTCCTGGCATCGAATGCAACTAAGTTGTGCAATAAAATTTTTCCCCCGAGCCTTTTCCAATTTTTAAAAAACTTTTTATTAATTTTTTTTTTAATTTTTGGGACAATTTACTTTATAAACGAAGGGAAGCGAAGGCTTTAAGGGCACGCAAATTTTTTCACAGCTTACTAATATTAAATGCAACTAAGTTGTGCAATAAAATTTTTCCCCCGAGCCTTTTCCAATTTTTAAAAAATTTTTTATTAATTTTTTTTTTAATTTTTGGGCCAATTTACTTTATAGACGAAGGGAAGCGAAGGGTTTAAGGGCACGCAAATTTTTTTACATCTTTCTGGCATCGAATGCAACTAAGTTGTGCAATAAAATTTTTCCCCTGAGCCTTTTCCAATTTTTAAAAAACTTTTTATTAATTTTTTTTTTAATTTTTGGGACAATTTACTTTATAAACGAAGGGAAGCGAAGGCTTTAAGGGCACGCAAATTTTTTCACAGCTTACTAATATTAAATGCAACTAAGTTGTGCAATAAAATTTTTCCCCCGAGCCTTTTCCAATTTTTAAAAAATTTTTTATTAATTTTTTTTTTAATTTTTGGGCCAATTTACTTTATAGACGAAGGGAAGCGAAGGGTTTAAGGGCACGCAAATTTTTTTACATCTTTCTGGCATCGAATGCAACTAAGTTGTGCAATAAAATTTTTCCCCTGAGCCTTTTCCAATTTTTAAAAAACTTTTTATTAATTTTTTTTTTAATTTTTGGGACAATTTACTTTATAAACGAAGGGAAGCGAAGGGTTTAAGGGCACGCAAATTTTTTTACATCTTCCTGGCATCGAATGCAACTAAGTTGTGCAATAAAATTTTTCCCCCGAGCCTTTTCCAATTTTTAAGAAATTTTTTATTAATTTTTTTTTAAATTTTTGGGCCAATTTACTTTATAAACGAAGGGAAGCGAACGGTTTAAGGGCACGCAAATTTTTTTACATCTTTCTGGCATCGAATGCAACTAAGTTGTGCAATAAAATTTTTCCCCCGAGCCTTTCCAATTTTTAAGAAATTTTTTATTAATTTTTTTTTTAATTTTTGGGACAATTTACTTTATAAACGAAGGGAAGCGAAGGGTTTAAGGGCACGCAAATTTTTTTACATCTTTCTGGCATCGAATGCAACTAAGTTGTGCAATAAAATTTTTCCCCCGAGCCTTTTTCTATTTTTAAGAAATTTTTTTTAATTTTTTGGACCATTTTACCCCATAAACGAGGGGAGCCGAAGGGTGTAGGGGGGCGCATATTTTTTTACAGCTTTCTGGCTGTGAATGCAATTGATTTGTGCAATAAAATTTTTCCCCCGAGCTTTTTTCTATTTTTAAGAAATTTTTTTTAATTTTTGGGACCATTTTACCCCATAAACGAGGGGAGCCGAAGGGTGTAGGGGGGCGCATATTTTTTTACAGCTTCCTGGCTGTGAATGCAATTGATTTGTGCAATAAAATTTTTCCCCCGAGCTTTTTTCTATTTTTAAGAAATTTTTTTTAATTTTTGGGACCATTTTACCCCATAAACGAGGGGAGCCGAAGGGTGTAGGGGGGCGCATATTTTTTTACAGCTTCCTGGCTGTGAATGCAATTGATTTGTGCAATAAAATTTTTCCCCTGAGCTTTTTTCTATTTTTAAGAAATTTTTTTTAATTTTTGGGACCATTTTACCCCATAAACGAGGGGAGCCGAAGGGTGTAGGGGGGCGCAAATTTTTTTACATCTTTCTGGCATCGAATGCAACTAAGTTGTGCAATAAAATTTTTCCCCCGAGCTTTTTTCTATTTTTAAGAAATTTTTTTTAATTTTTTGGACCATTTTACCCCATAAACGAAGGGAACCGAAGAGGGTAGGGGGACAAAAATTTATTTTTAGGTGTTGGTTATCATTTGGGACAATCTCACGTTGAAAAAAATTTACTTTTTTTATTTTTAATTTTTCGTTTTCAAAAACGTTTCGAACTTCAGCCTCATATAACATTATAGACGCCATGATCTTAAAATTGCTTCTAATAGAAATTTTTTATTATGACGAGTAATTGGATCTCATTAGCTGCTTATGTTAATCATTAAATTAAATTTTATATAATTGTTACAATTCAATAATAAAACTTTAGTTGTAAATTTTACTTGGTAAACTTCTATTTCACTAATTGTTTGGACATTTGCAAAAAATTTTACTTGGCGGAACTTTTTGCGTCAAAGATGTTTTTGTTGGGATTGAAATACTTTTTGCATCATTAATAATGTTCCTAGAGTATTTTATGAAACTGTTTAGTACTTCAGGCTCTACGTTTGTCAGAAAAATTTTCATAAAATGAAATACTATTTTTCTAAGTTCAACATTGCCTTAGAAAATGCTAAACATAAAAGCTATTGTGATTTTTCTATAAGTAAAATTCATTTTATTGACAAGTGAGTTCGTAAACTTCGTAGATGTTCATATATCTGTCTTCAACGGCTGAGGTGCTTAAGGCGCAATAATGCTTCAAGCCCAAGGTATCCAAGTTCGATTGCAGCTTAGTAGGGATTTTTTCATTATTTCTGTATAGTTTAAAAAATATATAATTAAACTTTAAAAAAAAATTAATATATAATATTACAGTGTTTCAACTTAGAAAATATTGTTCACTTAAAATGTGTAATTAATAGAGCCTATTTTACTATAGTCAAAATTTCGATTCAGATTAATTTCATTTTCTTACGTTTTATTTTCTAATTTTAAACTAATAATTATAACATTTTTAATATTTCTAATTAATATATGTATTTTATAGTTAATTTTGATTTTGAACTTGAACAGTAGCCCCCAATTTCCCAACATTTTTAAAAATTATAAAAATGCCTTTTTCGGTAAAACTCAAATTTCTTTTAGGTAAGTGATAATTTTAATAAACTGACTATAATAATATATGTTAGGTTATACCTCTAACTGATACGAAAAATTAAAAAAAAATTTGTGTCGGATATTGAGCTAAGAAAAAGTGTGTCCCACAATATCCCAACCTCCCCTACTTAATTTGTTAAAATGAATGGCAGACTATCTGAAGGCTTTTACGCTCCGTCTGGTGTTCCTCAAGGATCTCATTTAGTTCCCCTTCTTTTTATAATTTCGATTAATGCCACTACTGGCTACATTAAACATTGTAATTTTTTATGTTTTGCCGATGTCTTAAAATTGTTTACCAATATCCTATCAATAAATTCAATCTTAGATCTCCAGGAAGACATAGAAGGAATTTAACGTTGGTCTACTATTATTAACAATCTGCCCTTGAATGAAAAAAAATTTTCCGTAATTACAGATTCAACGCGTCAAAAAGATTCGGAAAAGTATTTTCCGGTTTTTGGTAGGTACTAAGATAGTCT